CGGCGGTGCCGGGGAAGCTGCCGGCGCGGAGGTGGATATAGGCTGGGCTGCTCCCTCCCACAAGAACAGCGGCTCTCCGAGCACACACGCCTCCTCGCCCAACACCCGCTGAGCCCGGGCGGGCTCATCGCATCTCACCCCAGGGACCTCCACCCAGACCTTCGCCCACAGCCTGGCTTGGGGGTGCCCATCTCCTCCCAGAGAGCCTTTGGCATGCACCGGAGGCTGCAGGCGAGCAAGGAAATCCCTTACCTGCTCTCCAGTTGCTTCCTGAGACATTATTTTGTGTCCCCAGTTTGGCACTGCCCTGAAGGGATGCCCACCCAGGCACAGAGGGGGGTTCGGGGCTGACCTTTACCTTGGGGTGCCTGGAAATCCTGCCCCTGCAGCCTTCAGACATGGGCAGAGCTGGGGGCTGAGGGCTGTGTGAGGCCAGGGGCTGCGACAGCACAGGGTGAGGGGGCTGCAGCTTGGGGCAGCTGCAGGGGGTCCCCAGGGGAGCACTGCCCTGTGCCAGCCTTTGTACAGCCTGGAACTGTGGGGTTTAACCCTTTGCTGCCCCATTCTGTGCTTGTTTGGTTGTTTTTTTTTAAACCAGGGGAAGGCAATGCTTTGCCACACTGAAACAGCCTGGAAGGGGACACCAGCCGCTGTGCCGGGGGTCCTAGGCTGTTCAGGACCTCACACTGCGCCCATCCGCACCGTCCGTACCAGGTCCATGCAGCCCTCTAACAGCAGAAAACCTGCAGCATCCAGCAGCAATCAATATTATTAACAGCCAATATTATCCAGCATGTTTCCTTTCTGTGGTCAACATTTTTTTGAAATAAACTTCAGATTTTTAAAAATACTGTAAAAAGTCCTTTTCCAGCTGTTGCACTGGTAAGGGGAATGGTATTGGCACAAACACTTATCCTGCTCCATTTACAATTTATGCCTTAAATCAGCACTGAACAAACTGCTTAGGAACACACTCAGTGTGTGTTCGCTTTTTATTCTTAGCTACAGATTAAAATTTTCAGCATTTTTGAGACTTCAGTTGAGATGTCCCATTTTTACAGGAAAGATTCAAGTAGAAAAAAATTGGGGTGACACAAAGCTTTTGGTATTGTAAAGCATCCAGACTTACTTCAGAGACAGTAACTCATTCAATCAACTCGCATACATTAAATTTTCTTTGCATCAAATAAAACCTCTTAAGAAAAACCCCCATCCCCATTTGCAGTTCCACACATTGATCTGAAACTATATGGCTCAAGAAAAAGCCTATTGATACATCAGACCACTAAAAAGGAAGGAATTCAGTGTGCTAGAAGGCAAGGCAGGCATGCCTTCTCCCTTCGTAACTATATGCCATCCCCAGATAAAGCCAGTGTTACAAACAATTATTAGCAAACTATGGAACAAAACTCTTTGAGCATACTGATCTACTCCCAAAGCACAAATACTTATGCTTAAAGAGAGAACAAAGATCCAGAATAACATTAATCCTGTTTCTAACAGCAGGCCCACTGCAGCAGCATCTCCCCTCTCTAGTGCAGGCAGGAGCAGTAAGCCCCCCGCGCTGCCCTGAGCCCCCCACGCTGCCCCGAGCCAGCGGCTCCGTGCCCGGCACAGCAGCTGGGCACCAGCTTTGCTCCCAGCACCAGGAACGCACACGCACGTCGCGCACGCAGAGCCGGCTGGAGTTGCAGCTGTGCTTCGGGTTACCTTCTGATTGCAGCAAATGTAAGATGTGTTCTACCTGCAGGATGCAGCCCCAAGAGCACATCTACGTTTATTCATACCTTCTGCTCCCCTCCCTTCTCGTGCTGTTTCCCAACTGCCCTCCAGATCAGGAGCTCCCCAGTGCGCTTCAGTCCTGCTTTTGGTGACCTTTTGTCATGGCTTCCTCGACAATTTTTGGCAGGGTGTGTACATGACACCCCCCCCGCCCTGTGAAACAGAGACCTCGTGGCTCCAAGGACAGCCTCAGGGGCAGAAGTGCCTTCTGCTGACATTGCAGCCCCAGCGCTTGGGCAAAGCAGGGAGCTACGCGCAGCCGTCAGTAAGCGAGGGCGTTCACCAGGGGACAGCACCGGTGACCACACCAAGGGTAAGCTCCTACCTGTGCTCACCCCCAGCCACAACCCCTGGGCGACAGTTTGGTGACAAGGTCCCCGAGGTGTTTTCTGCCGTCCTCTCTCCAAGGCCATGCTGTGCTTCGCCCAGGAGCAGGGTGTCCGCACTGTCCCTCTGCCTCAGCCGCTGGGAGATGGCTTCTGGGTGCAGAGGGGACACAGCATGGCTTGTAACCTCCTTGTAGTGGTTGCATTCGCTCTCCCGGGAAGGCAGGGTCACCGTAGCTGACCTGGCTGTTGCATGGGGAACATGCACACAGATGCTCGGAGCGCAGAAGAGAACGAAACAGCCACGGCTCAGTGTAAACCGGAGCAGGTCCCAGGCTGAAGGTGTGCTACAGGGATGCTGGTGTCCTACAACACAGACCTTCACGTGGGAGCACAAACCCCCTGGTCTGCAGCAAGGACTCCTGACCAACACACCAACATATGCCCAAACAAGCACTGAGCCTCTTTTTTTTTTTTCTTTTAGGAGTCCCCTGTCCCCAACCATAGCAGCCAAACAACAAATGGAGATGAAATAGGCACGCATATATATAAAAACTTTTTTCCTTTTAAAAATCAAAATATTGTAAGTGTGGGAGGTAACAGGAGTTTGTTCTGGGCTGCGTTCAATGAACAGAGGGGAGGGGGATGGCTGGCGCCTGCCCCCCGCCTGCCAGCTCCAGACAGGCACCGACCGCTCTGACCTCCAGCTCCAGAGGGGCACAGGCGAAGGCTCCCGCAGCACCAGCCCAAGGCCCTGCCCCACACACCACCTGTGTTTTGCTCAAGGCAATTCTCCCCTTTCCAGTGGGAAAGGACCCTGCCGAGAGCACGCGGGTTTGCTCCCCTCCCGCACAGCCGATGGGGACCCTGCGGGAGGCTCTGCACCATGGGGTGCATGGACAGGGAGTGGTCCATGGGCCACAGGCTCTGTCCCAGCCATCCCACAGGTGACCTGGGGGGCAGGATACAGCCAGAGCCCAGGGCCCTTCCCCACCTCCTCTTTTCGATCACAGCAGCACCAAGGTGGTGGCAGAGCCAACCCATCCACAACACGCCGAGGCGTTCCGGCCCCACACAGATAAACAGGGCTGGAGGCAGGGCAGATCCCTCCTTCTCCAAAATGAAGACATGGAAAGTCAACAAAGTCATGGGCCAGGCCAAGCTCTCTGCAAAGGGGCGTCCTTCTGGTTTGATTTCTTGAACAGGCTGAAAGCAAGATACAGATTTTTATGCCACCTCAATGTTGATAAATACAGAAATTAAAAAATAATAATAATTTGGGGCCCTGCTCCTGCAAAGCACAAAGACGCAGAGCCTGGCATAGAGACGCTGAGCCGTCCGAGCCCCAGCGCTGGGTGTGTTCTGGAGGGGCACAGACCAGCACGCTTGGCTCGCTCTCCTCATCCATCTCCACCAGCAGGTTCCAGTTTCTCTCAAATTCTTCCTGGTTCATCTGCAGCAGGTAACAAGGGGGTAAACACCAACATTTTGGCTTTCCTTGTGCCAGAAACATAACCGATGGAACTCGACACAAAGCTGAATTCTGCTAACAAGTATCACCCCAGTCTACATGACACAATTAAATAGAATTTTATTTTCAATAAATATACAATCTGCATCATACCAGACAATATGCTGTGAAAAAATAAAATGTACAGAAGCAACCAACAGGACAGCTTGACCGTAGCTAAGTTCACTTGGTGACCTGGAAAACTACCTGGGTTAACACACACAACACAGAAAGAGCCACTGCAGTCTGTGAGAGAATTAAAATTGTGTTATTTTGGGTCTTCCTAACTGCAAAAGTCCCTGCAGCGGGTTTCTTTTGCACAACATAGGTTTGAAAAGAGATGAGCTGGCTTTCCCAGTACAAATGCTATTGGAAATGGTAACTTTGCTATATCATCACTGTATCTACTGGACACACACAGACTGCTATCGAGAGTGGCAGATCTCAGCAGTGATGCGACATCGGATCCGTTTGACAAGGGGCTCCACGCACACGCGCGTGCCCCAGCACACAAATGCACGCGTACGTACTAACAGGAGCTTAATTCTGCTGAAACTAGTACAAGGACAAAACTGGAGTCAAAATCGATTTCACCACAGGTTCTACCGCTTAAAAGAATATTCTAGCCTAATGACCACGTTCACCAACGAGAGCACACGGGTACTTATATCTCCGAGAGGATGAGCCATGGATTTGGACTGGAAGGACAACGGAGGCAACTCCCAACTCTTCCACCCGCGCAGCGCTTCCC